TGGATTTGTGAATACTGAACTAATCTTGCATCCCAATAAACCTACTTGATCATGGTGTATAATCTTTTTTATGTGTTGCTGAATTGAGTTTGCTAATATTTTGTTGAGGACTTTTGTATCTATCACCATCAGAGATATTGGCCTACAGTATTTCACTTTTTTCGAAATGTCTCTGTCGGGTCTGGAATCAGCATAGTGTTGTTCTTGTAAAGTGCGCTTGGGAGCATTCCTTCCTATTTAATTTTTTGGAACATTTTGAGAAGAGTAGGTGTTAGTTCTTATTTGAATGTTTGGTAAAATTCACCTGTGAAGCTATCTGGTCCAGGACTTTTATTTGATGGGAGGTTGTTGTTTTTTTCCAATTTCATTAGTAGTTATTGGTCAGTCTGCTCATATTTTCTGACTAGAGGCCTGGTGCATGGATTCATGCACTGGTGGGGCCCCTCGGCCTGGCCTGCAGGGATTGGACCAAAACTGGCTGTCCAACATACCCTGAGGGGTCCCAGATTGCAAGAGGCGGTTCTCGGGTGACGCACCCTGGAATCAGGCTCCCTCCTCTCTGGTTCCAGGTGCATCACACAAGAACCGCAGCTACCAAGTCACCACAACTCAGCAGCTCCTGCGTTGAGCATCTGCCCCCTGGTGATCATTGCATGTCATGGCTACCTACCGGTCAGACAGTCACGTAGGTGTGTGTGTGTGTGTGTGTATTCTTCTTGATTCACTCTTGAAAGATGGTATGTTTCTAGAAATTGATCCATTTCTTCCAGGTTATCTAATTTGTGGCATATAATTGTTCATAATTTTTCTTTAATCTTTTGTATTTCTGTGGTGTCAGTTGTCACTTCTCTTTCATTTCTGATTTTATTTATTTTGGTCCTCTCTCTATTTTTCTTTATGAGTCTAGCTAAAAGTTTATCAATTTTGTTTATCTTTTCAAAGTACCAGCTCCTGGTTTCATTGATCTTTTGTATTTTTTTTTTTTAGACTGCATTTCATTTTTTTCCATTCTGACCTTTATTTTTCCTTTCTTCTATTCACTTTGGGCTTTGTTTGTTCTTTATATAATTACTTTAGGTATAAATATAGATTGCTATAAGATTAGTATGTATACTATCTACTGCCCAGATGCCCTAAACCTATATGAGTACCTTCAAAGAAACTCACTGACATAGTTTCATTCCCACACTGAAGCATCACAATTAGAAATCAGATTTGCTTTTCACCCAGATCAACCTGATAATTACCACTGTGTTCCAAAATTCAGAGAAGAATCAATATTATTTCTTAATTTCATGTTTTTAGAGGATTTCCTAAATGCTTAAACTAGTCTGTGAAGTAAAAATGACTAAATATCAGTAAAGAATTGTTTCAACTCCTTCCTCTATGTTTTGAAATGCCTCTAATATAAAGAAAAAAGTGTTAGTTTAAAAAGAAAAAGGCCCAACAGAATGGAATATTTAAAAAAATACAGCAGTATTAAATGGAAGTACGAATAAGAATGTTATTTGTAGAGACAGTTGAGAGAAGTGTTGAGTGGTCAGGCTCCAGAGCCAGCATGCCTAATTTAGTGTCTGTGTAATCCTGGGCAAGTTTTTTAAAACTCTGTGCCCCACTTTCCTTTTCTATACAATGGGGATAATAACAGTAATAATCTCAGAGTTGTTGAAGATTAAATGAGTTAAATCATGTAAAGCAATTAATATTTTTATTGTCGTTGTTATATATTTTATTGATTTCAGAGAAGAAGGGAGAGGGATAGATAGAAACATCAATGATGAGAGAGAATCATTGATCAGCTGCTGCCTGCACGCCCCACACTGGGGATTGAGCCCACAACCCAGGCATGTGCCCTGACCAGAAATCTAACCGTGACCTCCAGCTTCATATGTCAATGCTCAACCACTGAGCTACACCAGCCAGGCAAGCAGTTAATATTTGACCACTGTTTTCCAAATGGGTGGATAAAAGTCCAAACTTTTAATAACACTGTTGATAAGGCTGTTAGAAAACAGGGAGTCTCATTCCCTGCTTAGTATTAAGCCTCATGGAGGGCAATTTGGAAATCCCACTTTTGAGAATGTATTCCATTGATATTCTTGCACAGGTCTGAAAAGACAGGTATATTCCAGGTTTTATATCTCATAACGGAAACCAAATATCCATCAAAAGTGATGATTAAACAAAGTATGGCAACTTCATGATATGGAACACTATGTAGCAGTTTTGGTTTTTTTAAACAGATTGGCATGGAAAGATCTCTTAAGTCTTTTCATAAGTGAAAAACGCAAGATGTGTAGAACAATGCATATGGCATGTTATGTTTTGCATAAAAAAGACTGAAAAATCAAAATACATATTCATCGTTGTTGGTTTTTGCACTAAGAAACTAACAATGGTGGGATGAAACTGGGCAGATGGAAGACAAGATGGGAGGGACACTTCAAACTGTTTATGTTTGGGCTTTTTTTTTGCTTTTTTTTTAGCTATATGAATATTTTACCTATTCAAATATTAATTTTAAAAACTATTTTTTTAATGTTAGTACTTGGTGATGGGGAGACATGAAGAGATAAACCAAAAGAACTTATATGCATAGCCCACGGACAATAGGGTGGTAAACACCTGGGGGCGTAGGTAGGGCTGGAAGGAGAGGGGTATAGGGGGAGGAATGGGAGACATCTGCAATACTATCAACAATAATATATATATGAAAAAACGAATGTCAGTCTTATACTTTATGCCAGGGTCCTCAAACTACGGCCCGCGGACCACATGCAAATACAAATATTGTATTTGTTCCCGTTTTGCTTTTTTCCTTCAAAATAAGATATGTGCAGTGTGCATAGGAATTTGTTCATAGTTTTTTTTTAAACTATAGTCCGGCCCTCCAACGGTCTGAGGGACAGTGAACTGGCCCCCTGTTTAAAAAGTTTGAGGACCCCTGCTTTATGCTCTTGAATATTAGCTGCAATTATTTCTGTTATTTTTTTCCAAATATATATTTTTTATTTCAGAGAGGAAGGGAGAGGGAGAGAGAGATAGAAGCATCAATGATGAGAGAGAATTGTTGATCAACATGTGACCAATAGAGCCCACAACCCGGGCATGTGCCCTTGACTGGAATCGAACCTGGGACCCTTCAGTCTGCAGGCTGACACTCTATCCACTAAGCCAAACCAGCTAGGGCTATTACTGTTGTTATTAGTAACACTAGTAGTAGTAGTAGTAGTAGTAGCAGCAGCAGCAGCAATCTCAAAAAACCTTTCTTTTTTTAAAATATATTTTTATTGATTTTAGAGAGAAAGGGAAAGGAAGAGAGAGAGAGAAACATCAATGATGAGAGAGAATCATTGACCAGCTGCATCCTGCATGTCCCACACTGGGGATCGATCCTGCAACCCAGACATGTACCCTGACCAGGAATCAAACCATAACCTCCTAGTTTATAAGTCGATGCTCAACCACTGAGCCACACTAGACAGGTATCTAATTTTTTTAATCCTCACATGAGGCTATGCTTTTCATTGATTCTAGAGAGAGAGTTAGGAAGAGGGGAAAGGAGGAAGAGAAAGAGAGAAACATCAGTTGCCTCAAGCCTACCAGAGATAGAACCGCAACCTGGGTATTGCCCTGACCAAGAATCGAACCCGTGACCCTTCAGTGCACAGGATGACGCTCTAACCATTGGACATACTGGCCAGGGCTCAAAATGCCTCCTTTCTAAAGCCTTTTTCTTACTCTCTCTGCACAGCAGCCTCCTCTAACTCCTGAACTATATAAGGAATTTATCATTTTCTATTCTATTGTAAGTGGCTTAAGTCTTCTTATTCATGTTTAATATCCCAGGAACCTTGCTTTCACCTAGTAGATACAAACATTCTGGAGAAACAGTAACCTACAAGTACTCCAAAGAAGAAAATGGTGACCATTTCTAAAGGGATTATACTCTATAAGACTTAAAATTTGAAAAACTTGAATAACTAGATTTGCTAGCATTCTTTCGACTACTACTGCCCAGCTAAAATTTTCTCTGGGTCACAAAGTTTTTCCTTATCCCAGGACTTCCCTAAACATGGGAATCATGTCCCAAGCCAAGACACTACATGTACGAACTCTTTAACTCGCTGCAATCTCTGAAATGTCTTCTGTCCCAAGTCCCAACACCCTGGTACATCCTTCCTATTGGAAAAGCATTTGTTTTGAGTGTCTCCTTTTAGAAAGATGGCATGTATTAGACAGCGAATAAGGTGCGCTTTTTAGCTGGAGAAGAGCTCACACCTGATTCCTAATTTGCTCGGTGTTTTGTTTGTTCTCCTGGTACAGAGGGTAGTCTATCACTGACTGCTCGGTAGCCCAATTCTAGATGTCATTCCAGCACACCAAATACCCCACTGACAGCTCAACAGCCGCTTTCCGTGCAGGCCCCTCCCATTCGCTCCTCCCTCAACCCCCACAAGCTCCAGAGCTCCTTCGCACACAGACACGCTGACAGTTCCGAAGTCCTTCTCCCTACGCTGTCCTCCCCTGCAGCTGCAAGACCACCTCCCCGCCTCTCATCACCCCGCGATCCAATTCGGTCCAATACCCCTCCCAGCCAAACCAAATCACACCATCATCTCTTCCCAAGAAGCACGCCGCTTTCTACAGCCTTTCCCAACAAGTGCACCATTGACAGCTCGATACCACATTCCCCAAGAATCCTTTTCCTCCTCCTACCCCACGCACAGGCTCTTTGCTCGCTCTCGCTCAGGCGCCCTGGCTTCCCCGAAAATTCACAGCCCGATCCTTAAACCTGCTCTCCGCTCTCCCCTCCATCTCACCCCCTCTCCGCCGCTGACAGCTCAGACCCCTCCATCCCCGGGTGCCTGCACCCTCCCTCCCCTGCTCCTTTCCCTTCACGGCTCAGGATCGGCCCCCAAACCCCCATTCCCGGTCTCCCAAAACCCAGGCCCGGCCCTCCCGCTGCGCTCCCCGCCCCGGGGGAGGGCTCCACTCACCCGCTCTCCCGCATCACGTTGCTGTCCCCGCAATCGCAGGCGCCCCCGGCCTGGCTGCGGAACATGTTGAAGTCGTGTCCCGTGTGGTCGCCCTGGTGGAAGCACTCGGCGCACAGCGACATGCAAGGGGAGATGCCGCACGTCCGGCAGCGGTAGGCCACGAAGTTGG